TAGGTTAATAGCGATATACTAATATACTAATTACATGGGATATAATAATATACTACACTAATAATGGATTTTTTTATACTTTTCGGTTATCCGACTTTTCAATTATCCGACCAACCCCAGTCTCCAATTTGGGCGGATAATTGAGGTTCTACTGTAGTTACAATGATCATTATCATCAATGATCATCAATGTCCTTTATTTAAGAGGACAGTCCTTTATTTTACTGCTCTGTCCTCTATTTATTTTATAAAATAGGCGTTTTGTCCTTTACTTTGTAAATTCAATGCAAAGTTTAAAAACTTTTTTAATAATATATTGAACAAGTTAGTTTCGTGTACACCATCACGATCAGTGTTGTCATCGTGTCCACACGTTGTTACATAGAGCGTGGTAGTGTAGTGTGTTGCCAACCTAACGGCCCTTTGACAGTACCAAGGAGCGGACACTCTTATAGGGATTTTTGTGATAGTTTTTTAACTCTCTGTTTGGTGGATGATACACTTGGAGCGTTGGTGAGCATTCGTTGACACTTGTTGAAACATATTTCTCTCAGTCATAGTTTTGTATCAAACGTTTCGCATAACACGACTCTTGCCCGAAACATAACTACAGTTTTATACGAGGATTATTTGTACTTTTCCTTGTTTTGTGTATTTTTCCAGGTTGTCTTTTCCACCTAATCAATTTAAATATTTACGCATTTTCCATAACGTATAGTATAATCTTACGAATAAAAAAAATTATTGTATAATAATTCATGGCATAGAAGAGAACAGATAAATTTACATTCAATAAATTTATCATATTTAATTAAGTGAAGGCTCCTAACGTCATACATTGCTGTTGAAGGGAATGTTACTCGTGATGTTACTAAGTACAGTAGAACCTCGATTATCCGGACTAATTGGGGATGAACGTAGTCTGGATAAGGAAAAATTCGGATAATCGAAACAAATACTTTAATTTGTCTTTTAATGATAATACAACACGTTTTATTTTCGATGACATACCGGTAATATTAAAATTAAATACTGTATTTAAATTGTGATCAAATTTTCAAGAAACAAACGTTCGTATTAAATTTGAACTACTACTGACCAGCACTAACAAACTACCTATTGTTTAAAAGGCCCTCTGATGGCGCAAGAAGACGGATTTTATAAAATAAGAAGCAGTTGAAACTGCATTTTTATGAATAAAAATTTGACAAACTATTTATCGTTTTATGACAAGTAAAATTTTTTCGTCGCGTTCGCGGCTTTCAAGTAATGCATAAACCTTCGAGGCGCGAGGCTTTTCGGACCGCGAGGCATAGTCGGTGGCTCACGTCGTCCATGCCTTACGCCGCCGTTGATCATAAAAATGATGTAATTTGAATATAAATTATTTATAAATTCGTATGTCAAGTTATATTTTTATTACTACGTAAAATATATTTAAGAGTTTACGACCACTG